TTCTCATGCCTGAAGTCTGGGGGAAGAGGGAACCCCTGTGTGTAAAGGGGGGGTTGGTTTTGGTTTATATTTTTTTCTTTCCCCACTTTTTTTTCTTCCTGTTGGCAACATGAAGAAATGTGGAGAGAAGGAAAAGAAAAAAAGAGGTGGAATATGAAAAACAGATCATTTTTAAACTAAAATGTTTTAATACAAATGTAGGCCAATCCCATCCCCACCCCCAAATTGCTCCTTTTTGAAAATTATGGATTAAAACTGTCTGGGACTCTTTCAAATTATGCAAAAAAGCACTTGTATCGTTACTGATAGTCTAGAAAGACAGAAATATAAACCAGCTAGGGAGATATGCAACTAGATGTATCTTTCTGGGTTGGTTCCATCTTGTATTTTCCTCTTAATTAAAAAAAATTGCACTGAAGTGGGATCTTTCATGTTGTGCACTTAGGCAAAGTGCTACTTAGATTGTAAACTTCCCAGGCCAGATATTCTCTCTGGCTGTGTCTACACAGCAAAAGTTATTTTGGAATAACTATGCGAGCATCTACACAGCAATTCCATTATTTCAAAATAATTTTGAAATAATGGACTGCTTATTCTGACTTCTGTAAATCTCATTCTACAAAGAATAACGCCTATTCCAAAATATCTATTTCGAAATAAGGCGTGTGTAGACGCTCCACTGCTGCTATTTCAAAATAGCCCCTCACCAGGGCCATTCTAAGTTGTTCCTGCCGGAACTCTAAATCGAGATAGGACATCTACATTAGAGAAGCCGGCCTCGGACTAATTTTGAGGCTTCCCTGCAGTGTAGACGTGCTATTTTGAAGTAAGCTATTTCAGAATCACTATTCTGGAATAGCTTATTCCGAAATAACTGTTCAGTGTAGATGTACCCTTGTAGGAGGAATAACAGGTAGTTCGATTTAGGGCTTTAATTCGAAATACCGGGAACCTGCTGCGTGTAGACGTGGGCAGTTAGTCTGGACTTGTAAATTTCAAAAATGGTGACCGGCCGGGAAGATGCAAATCAAGCGCGGGATATTTAAATCCCAGGCTTGATTTGCAACTTCAAATGCCTACATTAGCCTCCCTAGTTCGAACTAGGGGGCTAGTGTAGACATACCTTGACATATTAGGGGGGCCTCTAGATGCTACAATTATTATTATAATGATTAATTCCTGGAGCATCAACTTTTGGTGTTTATTCTCCATTTAGGGTTTCATTCTGCAGGCCTGGCCCATCAAGCCCTGCTCATAGGCTACAGTGCACTAGGGGGCAGATTCTTTCACCCTTATTTGCAGAGTAGGGTGCACCCCACTGTGAGAAAGGGTGGTTGAACCTGGCCGTAGGAAAGCTGAATTCAGCATTCACTGTCGATGCAGCGCAATCCATGGGAAATCTAAAGCAACCTGGACCTCTGGGTTTTTTTAGCACTAGGTCATCTCCATCACTTAAAATCAAGATCGGATGTCTTTCTGAAAGAGGTGCGCTCTAGCTTCATCAGAAGTTCTTGGGTTGCTGCCCATTCTTTTCACGACGTACAAACAAGAGCAAGCCAAAACCACACTTTCTGGATGGCAACACTGCTTTATTTCTTAAAATCTCGAGCCGTATCTCTCGGGCCTGGCCTACACTCAGGCGTGATTTCAAAATAGCCCCCCTTATTTCGAAATAATAAGCGGTGCATCCTCATTGGCTGAAGCCCCAGAGTAGCAGGGGCCCTGTAGGGAAGCATGAGATCTGGTCTTGCAGCAGCCAGTATGCTAAGTGTCAAGCTTACATAAGAACATAAGAACGGCCGTACTGAGTCAGACCAAAGGTCCATCTAGCCCAGTAGCCTGTCTACCGACAGTGGCCAGCACCAGGTGCCCCAGAGAGGGTGGACCGAAGACAATGATCAAGCGATTTGTCTCCTGCCATCCCTCTCCAGCCTCTGACAAACAGAGGCCAAGGACACCATTTTATCCCCTGGCTAATAGCCTTTTATGGACCTAACCTCCATGAAATTATCTAGCTTCTCTTTAAACTCTGTTATAGTTCTAGCCTTCACAGCCTCCTCTGGCAAGGAGTTCCACAGGTTGACAACACGCTGGCTTTGAGTGGGGGGGAGTGAGGTGTGTCCCTTTTGCCTTAGGGAGTAGCCTGCTTTGTGTCTCTGGGCAGGTCTACACTAGGAAATTATTTCAGAATAACTAAATTTGAAATAAGAACTCCTGAAATAACATAGCGAGTCCCCACCACGGGGGAGTCTCGAAATGAGTCCGAGGCAGGCTCTGTTAATGCAGACACACTACCTCCACTTAGCGCCCCAGGAAGTTCTGGGGAGTTGCTCTGTTAGACGCACTACCTCCACTTAGCGCCCCAGGAAGTTCTGGGGAGTAATCACGTCGAATGACTCTGGGGAGTCGTTATTTCGAAAAAGCAACAGCAGAGTGTCCACACTCCCGCTAGTTTGAAATAAGTATTTCGAAACCAGCGTTATTCCCCGAGGAACGCAGGCATGCAGATTTCGAAATAACCAGCCCGCTCTTTCGAAATAACGGGCTTGGCCGTGTGGACGCTTCACTTACTCATTCGACTTAAGGGGGCTTATTTCGAAATAACTCCCTCGCGTAGACCAGGACACTCTGGTGGGTTCAGGTTCTGGATTTTAAGAAATAAAGTAGCGTTACAGTGCACCCTTCTAGCGCCAGTCATTTATGTTTTTCTGTTCATTGCTTCCTATGCAAGGAACAGAACCGGGAGCTAGCGGCCTCGCTTCTCTCATTCTCTCGTGGTTTCTCTACACTGGCAAGTGACTGCGCTGTCATTTTCTTGCTCAGGGGTGTGAAAAAACACCCATCCCCAAACGCAGCACGTCCCAGCGCTGGGAAGCGTCAGTGCGGACAGTGCTAGAGTGTGCAGACAAAGCCATAGAGGGGAAGGGAGGAGGAGGAGGAGAAGAGAGGCTCGCGGCTCTGGAACACAGTTGCCATGCTGTGAAGGAACTAGCTGTGTGGAATCCGATGACGCGGCGGTAAACGTTTCCCGTTGGGGAGAGCAGCGTTACTCTCCGGGTACGTCTACCCTGCAATCGAAGGTGTGACTGCCCCGCGGGGAGACCAACCCGTGCTAGCTTTACTCTAGCTCGCCTGGCTCAAGGCAGTAGTGGAGACGTGACAGCAGAGGCATCAATGCAAGTGCTCCAGCTGGGGCTGGCTCCCCGGGGGTGTAACCTCCCACACCCCTGCATCCTCACTGCTATTGTGAGCTGTGCTAGCCAGATCAAAGCCAGTGTGTGTGTGTGTGTGTGTGTGTGTTTGGGGGGGAGGGGGAGTGCCTCCTTGAGCTCCAATCACACCTTCTGTTGCGGTGTAGACACACCCGAAAAGGAGGAGAAAGTCTGCTGTCAGCGGGCCAGACTCTGCACCCCTGGAAGGGGCGGGGCCTTGGGTGGAAGGGGCGGAGCTGGGGCTAGCCTCCCGCAAGCAGCCCTCAGAGACTCCCAGAGCGCTGGTAGCAATTTAAAGGGTCGATAGCTCCAGCCACCGCTGCTGCCAAGCCCTGGAACAATTGGCTCACCCTGTCAGCAGACCTGAGTGCCATGAAGTGATTGGAGGCTCTTCTTCGCCGCTGCTACAAGCCCTGCTATAAGTGATGCTCATATAAATAGGGTCCACTGTATCCTTCCTAGCTGGGGCTGGAAGATGAAGCAAAGGTGAGAGAATAATAAAAACGCTTGGCTGGATGGGTTCCCAAAAGGTCCGGACCAACCTAGACCACCCCTAAGTGTGACACTGCTGCAAAAAAAGCAAACATGATTGTGGGATGCATTACCAGGAGTGTTGTGAGCAAGACACAAGAAGTCATTCTTCTGCTCCGCTCTGCGCTGGTTAGGCCTCGGTAGGAGGATTGTGTCCAGTTCTGGGCACCACATTTCAAGACAGCTGTGGAGAAATTGGAGAAGATCCACAGAAGAGCAACAAAAATGATGAAAGGTCTAGAGAACATGAGCTATGAGGGAAGACTGAAAGAATTGGGCTTGTTTAATTTGGAAAAGAGAAGACCGAGAGGGGACATGAGAGCAGTTTTCAAGCACCTAAAAGGGTGTTACAAGGAGGAGGGAGAAAAATTGTTCTCCTTGGTCTCTGATGATAGGGCAAGAAGCAATGGGCATAAATTCCAGCAAGGGATGTTTGTGTTGGATATTAGGAAAAACTTCCTAACTGTCAGGGTGGCTAAGCACTGGAATAAATTGTCTAGGGGGGTTGTGGAATCTCCATCATTGGAGATATTTAAGAGCAGGATAGACAAACATCTGTCAGGGATGATCTAGATCTGTGGTGTCCAACATGCTAACCACATGTAGCGATTTGGCTGGTTGAGTGTGGCTAGTTTGCTATAGTGGCTACTGCTCCAGAACTGGTTGAGCAGTCAACAGCCATGGTCTCCAACCTTTTTACACCCAAGATCACTTTTTAAGTCTCAGAAGAGGCGAAGATCTACTGCCCCGCCCCTTCCTTGAAGCCCCGCTTACATTACATGAGGAAATCTAATGTAAATGTACTGCACAAGTGTGCAGTTCAGAGAGGGCTCAAGACCTACTCTTAGAGCCCCTGAGATCTACCGGTAGATCGCGATCTACTGGTTGGTGACCACGGATCTAGATGGTTCTTGGTCCTGCTGTGAGGGCAGGGGACTGGATTCGAAGACCTCTCGAGGTCCCTTCCAGTTCTAGTGTTCTAGGATTCTAACAGATGTTTGTCAAACCTGGTCTTAACCTCCAGTGACAAGAATTCTACAATCTCCTTGGGTAACTTGTTCCGCGGCTGAGCTAGCTTTAGAGTCAGAAAGTTTCCCCTAGGATCAAACCCAAGTCTCCGTTGTTGTACACTGAGCTGAGCCCCGCCTGTCCTCGCCAGGGTGGACACGGAGAACAATTGATCCTCCCCCCTCTTTGTTATCTGTTTGGAGACTGTTCTGGTATGTTGTGACTCCACTGCTCTTTTCTTCCCTCCAGATCGACAGCATGCAAGCGCTGCTCCATTGCCCCAGCGTGCTGGTGTGCGTCGGCCGGGAGCCATTTAAACCACTGGTGCTGGAGAATTCGAGGAGACAGTTGTCTGAGAAGCTCCCTGGCTTGGCCACCCAACCCAGCGGCAACCCCGTCAGTGAAAACGACGGCAGTAAGAAAGACGGTGAGCTGCAGGGATGTCCACACCTGTCCCTTGAGACGGCCACATTGCTGGAGATAAATGATCTAATGGCAGTCAATGCATGCGCATCACTTCATTTGCATAAATTAACCACTCCCACATAGTTCCACTCGCGCCTTGTTCTCTGGTTTCCTCCTTTGGCATTTTCCTCGGCATCTCTTCTTCTGTCTCCTTTCCACATGCCCCCTTTCTCTGGCTGACTTGTTTACACACACACACACACACACACACACACACACACACACACACACACACACACACACACACACAAAGTGGTACCCGGGCTCTGCGCAGATCCCAGACACGGGTGGCATTTCCCTCTGGTTCCTAGGTGGACGGGTAGCCAGGGATACTCCGCACATGCCCTTGCCCTCAGCTCCGCCTCTGCAACTTGTAAGCAAAACTCGTGAAGTCATTCTGCCGCTCTCCTCTGCACTAGTTAGGCCTCAGCTGGAGTACTGTGTCTAGTTCTGGGCGCCACATTTCAAGAAAGATGTGGAGAAATTGGAAAGGGTACAGAGAAGAGCGACAAGAATGATTAAAGGTCTAGAGAACATGACCTATGAAGCCAGGCTTCATGAACTGGGCTTGTTTAGTTTGGAAAAAAGAAGATTAAGGGGGGACATGATAGCGGTTTTCAAATATCTAAAAGGGCGTCACAAGGAGGAAGGAGAAAATTTGTTCCTCTTGGTTTCTGAGGACAGGACAAGGAGTAATGGGCTTAAAGTGCAGCAGGGGAGGTTTAGATTGGACATTAGGAAAAAATTCCTAACTGTCAGGGTGGTCAAATATTGGAATAAATTGCCAAGGGAAGTGGTGGAATCTCCCTCTCTGGAGATATTTAAGAACAGGTTAGATAGACATCTGTCAGGGATGGTGTAGACGGAGCTTGGTCCTGCCTTGAGGGCGGGGGGCTGGACTCGATGACCTCTCGAGGTCCCTTCCAGTCCTATGATTCTATGATTCTATGAACTTCCATTGGCCAGGAACCGTGGCCAATGGGAGCTGCAGGGGCGGTGCCTGATGGCTCTGGCAGCACACATCACGCAGAGCCACTTGGCCGTGCTTCCACCTTGGGGACAGACGTGCTGGCCACTCCCAGGAGGAGCACAAAGCCAGCCCCACTGCTCTGCGGACGCGCAGCCTCCTGAGATAAGTGCCATCCCGCCAGAGTCTGCACCCTGAAACTGCTGCCCCAGGTTGGAACCCCCTCTCGCACCCTAATTCCCTCCCAGAGCCCATATTCCACACTTTGTCCCACACTCTGCACCCCTGCCCCAACCCTGAGCCACCTCTTGCATTAGAACCCCAACCCCGAGCCTCCTCCTAACCCCGCTCCAGCATTCCAGTCCCTGGCCCAGCCTGGAGCCCCCTCCCACAACCTGAACCCTCATTTCTGGCCCCACCTTGGAGCCCCTCCCCCCCCCACACTGGAGCCCTCACCTCCTCCTGCATCCCAGCTCCCTGCCCAGTCAAGTGAAAGTGAGTGAGGGTGGAGGAGAGTGAATGACAGGGAGCGGAGCTGGAGTGAGTGAGGGTGAGCCCTTAGAGAGGGGCGTGGCAGGGGTGGGACCTTGGAGAAGGGGCGGGAAGGAGTGGCAACTCTAGTGTTTCCCCAAGTATCCCTGGTCCCCAGCTCCTTGTCAGTATTTTCCATGGGATGTCTCTGGGCGCTGTGTCTGAAAGTCAGGCCACTTCATTAGGTGCCTAATTTTAAAAGTTCCGAGTTCACATCGTTCTCTTCGCACCAGATCTCATCCGGTTCCTTCTGCAGCATCTGCACAGAGAATTACGGGGCGGCGCTTTGGTGCACTCTGCTCTATACAACGCCATGGTGCCCCTGAAGGGCGGCGTAGACATGTTTTTAGCTAGGTAATACCAGCAAAGCACTCCGGAAATGAGGCCAACACGAGGGACTGAAAGGAAGTGCCAGGCACAGCACGGAGGTGTAGCCAGGTGGGGACTACTTTGTGTCATCAAGTCATAGTATGGAAGGCCAGACACGACCACCAGATCTTCTACTCTGACTTCTGGTGTATCACCGGCCACTAGACCCTACCCCATCACCCCCACGCTGAGCCCAATCGCCAGAATGACACCAGGGCTACGTCTACACTGGCATGATTTTCCGGAAATGCTTTTAACGGAAAAGTTTTCCGTTAAAAGCATTTTCAGAAAAGAGCATCTAGATTGGCACGGACGCTTTTCCGCAAAAGCACTTTTTGCGGAAAAGCGTCCGTGGCCAATCTAGATGCGCTTTTGCGCAAAAAAGCCCCGATCGCCATTTTAGCCATCGGGGTTTTTTGCGCAAAACTGTACTGTGCTGTCTACACTGGCCCTTTTGCGCAAATGATTTGTGCAAGAGGGCTTTTGCCCGGGAGCAGCACAGTATTTCCGCAAGAACACTGACGATCTTACATGAGATCGTTAGTGTTCTTGCGGAAATTCAAAGCAGCCAGTGTAGACAGCTGGCAAGTTTTTCTGCAAAAGTAGATGATTTTGCGGAAAAACTTGCCTGTCTAGACACAGCCCAGAGGATTACCGCTCTCAGGAGACTCAATAGCTGTGTGTCACAGACCAGGAATGGGTGGGGACCTATTGACACCAATGCTGGGGACTTTGAAATAACAGGGAATTGCATGAGTGAGAAATACTCTCTTTGCTTAGGTGCCGACTCCTTAGGTGCTCCTGCCCTGGCGCACCAAGGGAAGAAAATGAGAGGGTGCTTAGCACCCATGAGCATCTAGCAACCCCCATCCCCAGTGCCTCCTGCCGGTGGGTGGCCTTTGATCAATTCCTCTCCCTGCCTCCCAGTACCTCCCTCCCATGGCAGTCAGCTGTTCAGTGCTGTACAGGAGGCGGTGAGGGGATGCAAGGAGCGGGCACAAGGGAGAGGGGTACATGGGGCAGGGGTGCAGTGGGGGCTGGACGAGGCAGGGTGGGCACCTCAGTGGTAAGGAGTGGAATGGAGGCAAGGTCTGGGGTTATGGAGCAGTTGAGCACCCTGGGGAAAGGATAAAATCAGCACCTGGGGTTTTAGGTATGTGTTGTGCTTCCTCCTTCTTTTCTGGCCTGCTTGGGCATAGTCTGCACTCGAGCACACCCCCTTACGCCTACGTGCACTGTCCTGCCAATGTGCAATTAACACCGGCATACGCAACTTCCTTTGGACCCCCTTCATCCCGAGAAGTAGAGGCCTGCAAATCTGCATGTATCCGCGCCCGTGGAGGTCAGTGCACATATCCGCAGCTCACTTCCACGGATACAGACACCTGTTTTGCACCTGCGCAAGGGCTTTACCCAAGAGCAGTACCCACGGCATAAGGTGAGCAACCTCCTCTGTGTCTTCGGCCCTTAGGTCAGCGCTCAGGCTTTGTCGTCACTGTGAGGTCTTCCTGCAGAAAATATGCGAATGAGGGACTATTTAGCATAAGTTGTGATCTCATTAGCATATTTTCTGCCACTGCTTTTTGTGCAAAAAGAAGCAGTGTGGACTCCGTTTTGCATTTAGGATAGTCAAGACAGAAGCAGACTGTGAGGGACTCCAAGAAGATCTCACCAAACTGAGTGATTGGGCAACAAAATGGCAAATGAAATTGAATGTGGATAAGTGTAAAGTAATGCACATCGGGAAAAATAACCCCAACTATACGTACAGTATGATGGGGGCTAATTTGGCTACGACAAATCAGGAAAGAGATCTTGGAGTTATCATGGATAGTTCTCTGAAAACTTACACACAGTGTGCAGCGGCGGTCAAAAAGGCAAATAGGATGCTAGGAATTATTAGGAAAGGGATAGAAAATAAGAC